ATATTGCTTCAAATATAAAATTTATTTTAGTTTACATAATTAACAAACTAACAATCAGCATCAATCTTGTAAAGGTATGAATGCTTTAATAAAAATTATTTGATCAAAGATATAAGAGTATTTAGAAGACAAAAAAACAATAGTTTAATTTATATAAAAATATTGAAAAATCTTTGCTGTGCAATTCTTTTATATATATATATATATTATTTTTTTTTTAGTTTGATAAATTACATTATATATCAACTCTAATATGAATTATTTATAAGAAATGTTAATCATATCTAAAAAAATACGTTTTATTATATTTAAAAATTCATGTAACTTACTTGTAATACTTAATTGATGAAAACCAGGTGACACCACTTCTTCTTCGCAATGAGACATTGTATGGAATTTATAATTCAAAACAATTGCTTTAATAAACTCATAATTTTTTCATCTAATTACTTTTTTGAGATATCTAAAACAAGCACAAATATAAATCTTACAATTACAATTCATAGATAATTTTTTCATATTGGCAATATTTTTATCACAATTGTATAAAATTTATTAAGTGTGATCACAATATATATACTAACATATATGTTATTTACATATTTTATATTATTATGTATTTATGCATGTATGTATTATATATGTATATATATATAACTAATGTATATATATACACTAATAATATAAGTAGCAATTAAAAAGACAGAAAAAATAATAGTATTTTAGCTTTAAAGGATAATGCAATTAATGATATGATTATATAACATGTTTGATTCAATCAACCTGTTCAACAAATTCAGCAGATGTAAATGCATTACAATTAAAAGTACATTAACACATTTACAAGTAGCAGGATTTATATAAAATGATGATTTTACCAAATGTTATCTGTATGACTAATCTTATCTAGTCAAAAATATTTATAGGTGCGTGCAAAGAATTATAATATTGCAAAAATTACTATTACTGATCTCTAATCTTACAGTCATGAGACTGTTGTCACTGAATATGAACATGTCACATTGGTCGTGCACAACGTCCTTGTCAAAGAAACAAAATAGCTTTCAACACCAGGAAATACAAACCAAAATCGATATCTCCAGCTGCTCACAGTATCCTTAATGACGATCCTCCGTCCATCTTTTACGCAGTTAATAATTTTATCGTAGCAGAAATGAGTAGAAACGCTCGGAATCTGCGTTATCATTAAACTTCGATATCAATCAGTCACCATCTTTTCATACGTCAAATGTAGTCTCTTCGTGTACTTATGCGAGAGCAAAAGCGACCGTGGGCAATTTCGTGGTTAAAAATTCCTGCTGAACAATCTAATAGATTTTCACGCAAAATTACATACGCGTTATTTTCGTGTCAAAGTAACACGTACATTTGATTCGCATAAAAACTTATGTGCACATTTTTCATTTAAGCACAGCAGTGACTCGCACCGACAAAGACAAACTATAAGATACTCTCGAAAAAAAAGATGAAGATAGTTAAAGCACGGTATAAGCAGTATGTTCACAATCACGCAGGTTGTAATCATGGATATTCTAGTGAATTACGTTCTAGTAATTTTCACTAGGTTGCACTGTGTATAAAGCATAATCAGGTGTGTTCTGCGATTAGACATTAGTTGCATGACATCCAATCGTCGTTCTCTTTTAAAACCTCATATTTCAAGAAACGTTGGGTGTTCCATCTTGTACACGGTGTATTTCATGCCAATGTTGTGTCAAACTGCGCCGCGCTGCGTTGCTTTTATGTTCCACGTTGACGAATTGACGACTACCGATTCGACCTTCCACGTAGCACGCCAGTAGTGCTGGTTACACCGGTGCTCGTTATAGTAACTATCACGTTATGCCGAGGTATTGCATTGTCAGATCAGTGGTATCGTAGTGAGTGGATGTAAGATCAAATAATTCGGTGTTCTTTACAAAGAGAGTGTCTGCCGAACAGCGAATTAAAATGAAAAAATTTAGCATTTTTTTAGTCTTTATTGTTTCGGCGCTTGCACTCGTAGCCAACGGAGGTAATATATAATTTATATTTTATTCATAATGTGTGCCTCGCGATATGCAGTCTGGATTATACAAAACATGAATTAATAGATAATATACAAATGTTCAAATTTTTTCTTTTTATGATATTTTAACGGATAAAATATTTGTGAACATGATAAAATATTTTTCACGCAATTAATTAGTTTTTTGGTGATCCTAAAATTCTGCTGTTGCATGCTCTTACATGTGACGAAACAGCTGTCCAAGATTAAAATGAGTAAAATATTTCCTAAACATATTTATTATAAATAAAAGAATAGTTATTATGAATTAATTTGTGATTGAACTGATTTGGATATTTCCAACTTTAAATATTATAAATATATATCTTAAATGTATTAGGAATTAAATATTTGTAAAATGTATCTCAAATCTAACCTCATACAAAGTATTTCGAAACTCGGATGTTTTTTTAATAATAAATTTTTGACAATTTGGAATTGATTTTTTTCTAGCAAAAATATTGAAAGAGAGAGAGAGAGAGAGAGAAATTATCATTATTTACCATATTTTTTCAATTTTCAATATTATGTATCTTTGTATTTAATCTTCAAATTAAGATTATAAAGTTTATTTAAAATTAATTAAAACAACTTTTTTATTTATTTGCTTCCCTAAAGTTTATCTTATAAAAAATCTTTCTTCTCTCACCATCACTTATAACTCAGAAATCATTGATGTTTCTATGTTTTTACTGAGGAAAAATTAAATGGATTAGAGACTCTGTTATGAAAAGAATATTTGTACATTTTGAGACATCCTAGTGTATAAAAAAGATTAATTATTGCTATATAACCTTAAAGTATTACTGAAAGATTTTGTTAAATTGAATGTTAGATTGAATTTTTACATATAGTTTGTATTTGTTTTGATTAGGATATAGTGTCTATGCTCAAGAAGATGAGAATATTGATGATATTGTTGATGTGGAAGGTGAAGAAGGTACTATAATAACTGATGAAGAAGTAGAAGAAGATACAAGTAATGCTTCAGCTGATGCGGATACAACAATACTTTTTACAAAACCTATTCACAATGCACTATCTACTCTTGGTACTTTAATTGTATTTTCTATTAATTTAGAACTATAATAATATTTTTTAATATATTAACATTATATTACAAATGTTTAACAGAGTTGCCAGCTGGAAACATAGTAGAATTTCTCGTGGGTTTTACCAATAAGGGTGAAAGTGATTTTGTTTTGGAATCACTAGACGCTTCTTTCCGATATGCGATGGACTTTAATTTTTACATCCAAAATTTCTCGACATTCACATTCAACAAGGTTGTAAAATCCAAGCACGAAGCTACCTTAGCTTATTCCTTTATACCATCTGAAAGTTTTGCTGGAAGGCCATTTGGTTTGAATGTTAACCTGAATTATAGAGATGTGGTAAGTATCAGATATAAGATGTTAGATTATAAAAAAAAGATATATTTTTTAAACTATATTTTAAAAACTGCATATCTTTATTAAATTGTGTGAAAAACATGTAAAGTTGGTGTAATGCACTTTAAATGTAATCTTTTGTAAAAATCAAACTCTATAGCTTAATATAACAACATTTTTTAGTTAAAATAAGATATACTGATATGCAGAATAAGAGGTTTCAGAAAATAAAATCTCTGATAGGAAAGTTACAATTCAAAAAGTTATAATTTAAATTAATTTTTCTAAAAAAATTTCTATGGAACTTTCTTATGAAAGTTTACATCTAATGAAGCTTATTACACATCTTATCTTCACCAAAAAATTACATTGCTTTAAGGCACAAATACGATAAAATAATTTCTCATTTGTCACGTTTGTATCTGTGATTTATATGAAGACTGAAAATCAGAATTTTAATTAAAATTGTTATTTTGACTTATATTGATTATATTTTTTTCACTCGGTTTAATGAAGTACTATATGCTCTAAACATTTTTAATACATCATATTTTTCATATTTTGTATTTATAAATATTACTTTCATATGTTAATATATTATGCATTGTTGCAGAATGGAGTTTCTTACAATGAAGCTGTCTTTAATGAAACTGTACAAATTATAGAGATTGATGATGGTCTCGATGGAGAAACCATTTTCCTTTACGTATTTCTTATAGCATGCGTTATATTGACGCTCGTAGGAGGTCAACAACTGTTATCATCTCTGGGACGCAAGTCGCGCTCTTCTATTACTCGTAAAGCGCCGGTAGAAATGGGCACATCTAATCCTAATAATGTAGATTACGATTGGCTGCCAAAGGAAACACTTAACAGAATCAGTAAGTAACAGAATTAGTAATATTTTGGAATCAGATTTTAAGCAAGCACAAAATCTATTTAACATTTTTTTATAATACCATTATTATACAATCTAATATAATATAAATTTCTTGGTTAATTTGTCTTTATATCAAAATATTACATAAACCTTGAAACACAAAATCTAACTTAATTATGCTTGTAGATAAATCTCCAAGAACTCCAAAGCAAAGTCCGAGACAAAGAAAAACAAAGCGGACAGCTGGTTCTGATGACTGAACTATATAATTATATTTATGTATGTACATTATTTAAAAAAATTTATATAAGGAAAATATGCATTATACAACAACTGCAATAATTTTAAAATAATTAAGAATTCTATATCTGAAACAAATTATGTGAACAAAAAATAGTTTCAGTGAGTAATGTATATTATATGTTTCCAATATGTTTTTTTTAATAATCTCTCGAGATAACATTATAAAAGAAGTTATATGACGATACAAAAATATATATTCATTCCTGTAATATAAACATAGATTCAAGATCAAAGAAAAAGAAACAAGAGTATAATGGTACACAATTTTCTTTTTGCACAAAATCCATATAAAAATCCATATAAAGTTATATTGTACTTAGCATAATAAGCTTGGGGTTTATTCCAAGATTGATTGTTCTCCTTTGTGTTTTCTTTTTTTTTATACAATCTGCGTTATGATTAATAATATGAATGCGTGCGTGCGAGCGTAATACAAAATTGTGATTCTGTATGATTGCACTATTATGCGAGCATATTTAATTAAACAATTTTGTACAAATAATTTTTCTAAATTTATTATAACACCCTGACGACTAGACAATTATTGCGCAAAAATTGCCTGCCACCGGAATTTTTTATGAATTGCTATAGCATATTTACAGATGTATTTATTATGAATAATATTCCTAAATCCAGATACCATTATGTGTTTATACGCGATCAGAAGATATAACGAACATGAGAGTATTAAGCATATGTATGTAATTTAATATACAAGGTGTCTGAAACCACCCGTATACTCCTTTTATAACGAATGGAAGTGGTTTTCATCAAAAATCCGAAAAAATCTAATAAATAAATCGGGTACTGGAAGTAGGCTATCCAGACCGGAAATCGGTATTCAGCTTTGATAGACATCTTCCTGTCTTATTAAAAAATGAATTCATAAAATTCATAGAATGATAAAATTAAAAAACTGTAAAAGTCGTGCAAATACGTGATGCCGATCAATAATTGTTAGCAGAATAAAATCATGCATATATTCCCGAATTTGAGAGTACACATTGCAGCATAAAAAGCAGAGTATGTAGACTATTATGAAAATTTATAATTAAATTGTTAAACAGCGAACATATAGTTGAATTATTAAGAAAAGTATTTAATTAGAAAAATTCAATATATCACGTTCAAATTTACATTTAATACCGCGTTTCAAATTCTATATAAATTTATAATTGTCACATGTTCAAATCTTTGCCAATTTTGCATATACAGAAATATAAGATTAGGCTGTGAAAACCTCTTCAGAAATCGACTTGTATTTCTTTCTAGGGGAGGGGGGAAGGCAATCAGAAAGTGTTTACGCATAAACACTTATTTTTAATACAAATTTCATCAGAATTCAGGCTTTTATTTTTTACAGACACCCTGTATATATATTATCATTTTTTGCGACATAACCTATGTGCGGCGTATACCGTACGAACACGTAACCTAAGAAATCATCGTTGTAAACGTCGCACATCTTTGGCGATATAATCACACGTCATTACTTTGCGACAGTGACCGACAGTCACGGCATACTCGCGGTATACGAAATAAGATTAGAAGCAAAGTAAAAAATATGTCAGACGTGAGAGACTGGTTCAATTCTCTACCGATATTTACGAGATATTGGTTGCTGTGTACCGCGATCTTAACATTACTCGGCAGATTTGGATTTTTGAGTCCACATTCATTAATACTATGGCCTGATCGATTTCTGAACAATTTTGAAATCTGGAGAGCAGTGACGAGCGTTTTCTACTATCCGCTCAGTCCAGGTTCAGGATTTCATTTTTTGATTAATTGCTATTTCCTATACAATTATTCGCTGAGGTTAGAACGCGGGGAGTACGATGGAAAACCAGCGGATTATTGTTTTCTCTTGTTATTCAATTGGATGTGCTGCGTTATTATTGGACTTATCGGCGATTTTTCCTTGCTCATGGATCCCATGGTGCTCAGTGTGTTATATGTATGGTGTCAGCTGAATAAAGATGCCATTGTAAACTTCTGGTTTGGTATGTTTCCCTAGTTTTTCCTTTTTCTTAATAATTTACCAATTTTTTATACAAAATAACATGTATACAGATATAATTTAACTTGTAAGATAGATTAACTTATATAAATAAATTTGTCAACAGGTACACAATTTAAAGCCATGTATCTGCCATGGGTTTTGTTTGGATTCAACTTGATCATTTCTGGTGGTGGAATGATGGAGCTGTTTGGCATCTTGGTCGGACATCTTTATGTATTTTTGAAGTTTAAATATCCTCAAGAGCTTGGTGGCCCGGAATTACTTAACACTCCAAAGATACTTGAAAATTATTTCCCTCCTCAAAGAAGTGGAGTTCGATCATTTGGTACTGCACCAACATACAGACCACCAAGGGAACAAAACGCTCAAGGAAGAAATGTGTTTGGAGGACATAACTGGGGAAGAGGTCATGTGTTGGGTCAATAATTTAAGAAAATTTATTTATAAAATCATTGAATGAAAGAAATTTTCTGTTTACTTATTCTGCGATCTATGATCAGTATATAAGAGCAACACTCGTTTTCTGACGTCTGAATTAATCCATTCTTCCAAGTATCTTTTTAAACTTTTATATAACTTGAAGAATTAAAAACCATGAATTCAATATATATGCATGTTAAAGCAACTTAACACCTTGAGGACTGTAAACACAAATTTGTGTTCATGTGCAATTTATTTATATTCTAGCGAAATGTTATATAGCAAATAACTGAATTGCATTGTATAAGTTTTTATTAAAAAAGTTATAATTTTATTTGGCTATGCGTAATATATACTTGTATATTTGAAGACCTAAACATTCCACATATATATGATAAAATATTCCAAGACGATGCCACATGGTGAACAAACACATCGGTCCTTAATGTGTTAATAGCAAATAATAGACTATTATAAATATAAAAGAATAGAGAAAAATTATTTAAAAATATCATTATGAAATCAAAAATATTCACAGTATGTTCTAATAAATGGATAAATCTGATATAAATTATAGAGCAAGAGGACAAAAGACATTAAAAGGAATTATAAAATGTTTAATCCTTTTTTTTCTCTCTTCTGATCACTGATAACTAATTGTTGATTGCACTCGATAATGAAGTATGCTCATCAGTAAACTTGTATATATAATTTTCTGTACATTTACATAATAAATAGAATATAGAAAATTTGAGTAAGTGTAATGTGCATGGATCTTTTCACTAAATGTAGAAAATTTGTATTGGATTTTATTATTGCATTTATTCTGATAAGAATAAAAAAAAGCTCGATATTCTGCATTTTATCTTTAGTTAACTCTTTGAGAGCTTTAATTGTTAGAAATCATTTTTCTTATAAATTTATAAAATCAATTAATGTTTTGAAGTGAAACAAGCGTTATGTTTAAACTCAATTTTTAGCAATTGTATATCTCAGTGCATTAAAGTATATATTTCAAGAATAAATGGATAATATACGATATAATATGGGTAATATAAACTAAAAAAAATACAATTATACATATTTAATTCTTTTTTAAAACGTTTTTATTTTCTGCGCCTTACAAAAGTCTGTAAAAATAAGACATAGAACACTTAGTAAAATACACATTTTTATTGCAAAAGATTATAGTAACATGATTTTTTATTGAGGGTGTCTCCTCAGTGGCCAAATGCCTGCTAGCATAACATCAATGAATGAAGTTAATGCTAAACAGGTGGATGGGATGCCAATCCCTACCAAGAGCCCAAAGTTAACTCTTTTCATTGTAATTTTACAATAGTCAAAAAACTTGTTAATGATAAATCATATAATTATATGATCTATAACCAATTATAATAAGTCATTTAGATAATACTTGTTTATTTTATATTTTTTGAAATAAAAAGAGTGAAATAAGAGCTCTATACCCACCAAAAATTATTCTTCAGGGACTTCCAACTCTCCAGCTTTAATGTCATCTATGAGATCATGAGGTGGCCTGCCCTCCACTGTGCATCCAACTGACTGACATGTGCCTAAGATCTCTTTGACAGTGCCACTGAGTGTTCGCGACATCGATCTTGATCTCATAGCACGAGCTATAATAACAATGTCGTCAAATGTCAAATTGCCGCTGTGCTTTATATTCTTCTGCCTCTTGCGGTCCCTGGGTGGCTCCTTGAGCGCTTTAATTATCAGAGAAGCCGCAGATGGCACAACTGAAATAGTGGCTTGTCTATTTTGAATAGTCAGCTGCACTGTGATTTTTAAACCTTTCCAATCACTAGTAGCTTTGGCAATGTCATCACCAACTTTTTTAGGAGACTAAAATACGAATATAATTTATTATTAATAGCACATAGTGTGCTTTTATAATAAAAATTAATTGTTATCTGTTTTTCCATCAACTCAAAGTTTGTAAACAATTTTATTGCTTATTTTTGTTTAAAAAATTCACTTTATTTTATTAAATATTTGATAAATTTACAAGCAAACTTGATTAAAACATAACATTAATTAGTATTTTTTAATAATAAAGCTTGTAACTGTGAAATATTGCAAATCAAAATCAATTACTACATAACCAATATATTAGTACAAATAATTCTCTTCAAACTTACCAAACCAAGGGGACCAATTTTTGGAGCAAGAGAAGAGGTAGCTCCTACTTCACCACCAACGCACCGAAGAAATACTGTAGAAAAAGAATAAATAATTTTAACCTTATACTTTTCTCAGTTGCAAAGAAATTTTCAAATGTATATTATATATATAATAAAAAATATTAAAATACCTTTTTTTATTTCATTTGGATCAAACTTTGGAGGCATTGTGATAGTTTTAGTTGAAGATTTTCAACGAAAAATGTGGATGAAATCTGATTACAAGACTACAGAACACACGCGACGATAATCTCACGTTGGGAAAGATAGGAAAAAGGAAGTAATAAATCGCCTATTCCGGTAATATGCTTCGAGTCTTTTTGCGCATGCGTGACTTTATGCAAGATTCACACTACACGGAGAAAAGAAAAAGGGGTATTAAGGTGTCTTTTCACGCTGATGCTCGACACCAACTTTAATGTTAAAAAACATCACGTGATCAAAAACTGCTGTAGCAGTTGGTTATTATATTAGACACATGAGTTTACCGTCTTGTTAATATATAATCGAAGATTGGATATGTCAAACAATGTCCAACCACTGGAATATTTATCTTATATCATGATATAATAATTTTTATAGAATGTTATTGTCAAATTGCATTTGTTTTAATATTTGCACTTGATAAACTAAATCAGAGTTGCAAGAGAAACAAGAACCGAATATAAATAACATCTGCTAACATTATTGATAGCAAATATGACAGGCTTAGACTTGCTAGATATTGGGGAGGATGATATCTTCTTTGAAGAGGATAAAATGTTCGTTGTACAGGATTGTGGATGTTAGCTTGTGTTAAGTGTTATTTGTCGTTGTTGCATTATAATTTTAATGTGCTTTATTTTGATTATAACATGCATGTCTGAATGCCATGACGATACAACAGTTTAACAAACGCTTCAATTTCAACCACAAACAGTGATATATTTCATTATTCAAGTGGGTCAACTTTGGATAAAGCTTTTTTTGTTGCTACAACCGCCGTACCATCGGCTAGCATCAAATTACACCAATTGGCTATGATGGAAGATCGCATGTATGCATTATTTTTCCACCATAGTTATATTGACCTTTTATTTCTCTTTCTGATTTTACACATATCTTTTTTGTGCCAAATTTCAATTTCTTCTTTTTATATTGTTGCTTATCATATTGGAACTTAGACCAGATATAGAACTGGTCACACAAGATCAATGTACACAGCAACTCTCAAAGCAAATGTAAGTTTTCTCTTTTAAATATTTTTCTTATGAAAGACATTTATATTATCAAATTTATTGTGTAATTAATATGCTAAAAACAGTTTGTTAGGAAACTAGTAGAGTATATTAATAATATAATATATAATTCTAATAGAGTTATGTAAATAGTTATATACTTATAATTATTCTTCTCTTTTTTTAATGAAATACATTTTTAACAATAAATACAAAATACAGGTAAGAATAAAAGTTTTATGTATTTTCTATAAATAGATTGTGGAAATTTGTTGTGCTTTATATAGTATTATAAGTGCTTTATATAGTTTTATAATTAATTATAATTTAACTTTGATTGTGTATATTTTATTTAAATGCTACATATTTAGAAAGAAACTATTTTTATTTGAGATAGATTTTATACCAATAAAATTAATGAATCATCTTGATACATTAAGTATACAATTCTTGAACATGGCATTTAATATATATATAAGAGAAAACCATTTGCACTGTATGTGTTTTATCAGCTACTTTGCGTATTTATATTTTTCTATTTAGAACACATTTCTTTGATTGTGCTGTATAGAATGTATTCTGTAGCTTTAATATTGCTGTTTCTAAAGAACTTGATTATTTACATTTATCTAAAAATTATTAAATTACTTAATTTTTTTAAATATCAGGGGTATGACCATTACATCTGGGAACGTTGTGATACAGAAGGATGCCAGTAATCTTATTGGTATAAGCATTGGCGGAGGTGCGCCGCTTTGCTTGTGTCTTTACATCGTACAGATTTTCGACAATACACCCGTCGCATTAGATGGCACTCTTCAAGCAGGTGATGAACTTGTGGCGGTGAATGGAACATCGGTGAAGGGCAAAACTAAAGTAGAGGTTGCAAAGATGATACAATCTTGCGTTTCGCATGTCAGTATCAATTACAATAAGTTACATGCCGATCCGAACCAAGGCCGCACACTCGACATTGCTCTCAAAAAGGCAAGGCATATAATTGATATATTGTGTGATATAATTATATTCAAATTGTATAACTATGCTCTGATTTGTAGATAAAACATAGATTAGTCGAAGGAATGGGTAGCACCACTGCTGATGCACTTGGATTATCACGAGCCATTCTTTGCAACGATGCCCTAGTCCAAAGATTGATGGCATTGAAACGTACAGAAAATTTCTACAGAGGTCTCGTTGCGCACTCTAAAGCTACTTTACACGCTTTCTTTGATCTGACACAAATGTATAAAGGTACTTTCCGATTAATTACATCGATTTAATTAGACTCTTTCTCTGTTATTTAAAAAAAAGAGTAATTTTGTATAGTTTGTGTTTTTTAGCATATTCTTCTTCGATTTTCTTAAAATCTTGATTTAATATGCACTTTTTAAAGATTTAGATTCAGCACGTAATAAAAGCGCTTAGAAAAATGCATTTTTTTTTCTCAAACATTAGAAGTAATGCTCTTATTGTTAAGAATTTCATAGATTTGTACACATTGTACATTTGGTTACCTCTTTCAGTATTCGGTGATGCCTTTGCTGCTATTGGAGTACGAGAACCACAGCCGCGCGCCAGTGAAGCTTTTAGACAATTCGGAGAGCAACATAGACAAATGGAAAAGTTTGGGGTGACCATGTTGAAGGCCTTGAAACCGATACTTAGCGACTTAGGGACGTATCTTAACAAGGCCATACCAGATACAAGATTGACGATCAGCAAGTATGCTGATGCAAAATTCGAGTATTTATCTTACTGTTTGAAAGTGAAGGAACTGGACGACGAAGAGCAGAGTTGCGCCGCTCTACAAGAGCCCCTTTATCGCGTGGAAACGGGCAACTATGAATATCGTCTGATATTAAGATGTCGACAAGAAGCTCGTGTAAAGTTCGCGAAACTTCGCTCAGATGTTTTGGTAAAACTTGAATTACTGGATAACAAGCATGTTCAAGATGTTGTGTGGCAGTTGCAGAAGTTTGCAGCAGGCTTAGCAAAGTATTACGCCAGCACTCGAGATCTATTGTCGGAAGTGACGCTATTCCCTGTCGAAGTCGATCTGTCGCATTCTGCGTTTCAGTATAAATCCCTCGGGCCGCAAACGTTAACGGATTCAAGTGAAGACATCGATGAATACGAACCGAAAGAGAAACAGGAGAGCATAAACGAAGAACTTCTCATTGATACATCAAATTTTTCATCGGAACCAATCGATAATATGTAGCCATATTTATTAATTTTCCAAAGAATTTTTAAGTTGGACAAGTAATTTTTATTACAATCGGCAATGTATACGAACGAAAGCTTTTTTATTCAATTGATTTAGTCAGATCGACGATGCATTCCTGCATGTATTATTTAACAAGACGTTTATCTTATTTACAGCTTTTAAGATATGTTTTTAGAGGATAAATTATTTGTTATCAAATTTTATCTTTTAAATCAATTTAAAGCAGTATTTATATTAAATAAGGAATGATGTTAACTATATTCTTGTTTTAATTGTGATATAATATATAGATATATTTATAATTTATATTATGCATATATGTAATACACTAGTAATGTATATTTGCAAAAGTAAATTATATATTAAAATTAATATTTACAACAATTGTGAAAATTGGTTTTATGTTCCATAATTATAACTGTAAAATTCTTCCAATAAAAAATGAAATAATTTCTTTGAACAAGTGCTTTAATATGTTTGTAATGTAAAATAGCTTTTTCTTTAATAATTAACACATCAACGCTAATAAAAATAAACACAAAACTAACAATTTTCTGATAATGAAAAATAATAAATTTATTTTATCTATGTTTATTAAAATGTATATTTATCTCATACATATATTTATATATATTGGATGATTTGCAAGTAATGTATAAAAAATTTTTTAAATAAGTTACATAAATCTAAAAAAAAAATTATGATTAAAAAGTTACTTTTAATATTTTAACAGTAATGACAAATTATCTTTTATATTTAGAGATATACTTAGTGGTGTTAGTACCAAGCCAAAATGAGTGCCAAATATGACTAATAAAACTGTTTTTT